ATTTAATATACGCTAAATGCACAGTCAACAATACTTTCATAGCCAATGCTATAATTTCCTTCTCCAATTTCCTCCCATTATTTCTTTTTTTTTCCTAATTTATTTATGTTTTTTTTTCCTCCCTTTTGTCTTTCCCTTTCTTCAACTTCTGCAAACCTAGTAGATTTGTTGGGTTTTTTTTTTTCTCTCTCTCTCTTTCCTCTTTCCTCTTTCCTTCCCTCTTCCCTTTCAACTTATGCTTGTTGACTCAATGTACTCCAAGAGGGGGGGGTGAATTGGAGTTCCAAAAATTCTCCCCTTTTCAACCACAAAACCCAAATTAAAGAGAGTAAAGAAGAAGAGCTTGCACAATGAATTTATAGAGGTTCGGTCCAACCACTTGGAGCCTAGTCCTCTACCTTGGCTTCACTCACCAAGGATTTCCTCCACACTTTTCACTAAGAAAGACAAGGGTGGCTTAAAGGAGATACTCAATCCTTTTATAACAAAATGAGTATTTCTCTTAAACCTCACCCCTTTACAATGCAAACCCCACAAATCCTCTCAATAGATCACTCTTGAAGGAATCAACACACCCCCAAGATCACTCACTAAAAGCACAAGAAGAGGATTACAAGCAATTATCACTCAAAGATCAAAAACTCAACTTAAAGCTCAAGTAGGTAGGTAAAGATATTCAATGCAATGTTCTCCAAACTTCTTCAGATTTGTTACCAACCATATTTATAGCCCATTGCTCGAAAATAGCCATTACTAGCTGTTGGGGGTCATTAAATGCTCTGCAGGATGCAAAAGTCGAGTTGTAGAATTGTCAGGAGAGCCGGCTTAACTTCCTAGAGCCAGCTGTATAGAGCTGGCTCACCATTTCTGCAGCCGGCTTTGCGGGATTCCTGCACATTCTGTTTTCTTCGAGAGCCGGTTGTAAGACTTTGAGCCGGCTTTGGAACTCCGACTTTAAATACATTAAATATTCTTCAAAAGAGTCGACCGTTGTGCATTAAATACACCCCCACAGCCGGCTGCAAAGTTGGAGCCAGCTTTGCGTCTTTTCCCCACGCGCGCCAGACAACGGTCTTCAAATTTTTTGCTCGTAGAGCCGACTGCAGCTTCCAAAGCCGACTCTCTACACTTCCATTTCACCAGAGCCGACTGCAGCTTTTAATAGCCGACTCTTTGCACATTTTGAATCCTTTTGGTCTATTTTTAGTGCAATCCAAGTTTACTTGCAATCTTTTAGCAACTTAACTACACACTTAAATAAATCAATTAGTCACTCAAATGTGTTTTGTAATCATCAAAATCATAGGTACAACAATGCTGGGTTTGAGAACCCAGTAGAAGTTTTTATTTTTATTTTTATTTTGGCTTGGTTAACTTAGTTTATGATTAATTAATTTCATTATATGAGTTGTTCTAAAATTAATGAAGGAATCTTAAGGATTTTGCATATAAATGGAATTGGAAGTGGAAGGCTAGGGTTGGAGAGGATGAATAGTGACAATTGTAAATGTGTTTGTTTTTATTGATTTCAAAACCCAGATATGTAGCAATTGGGGTTGCTTTCTTCAATAGGAATGAGTATCTTTGCTTT